CAGTAAAAAAAAAAAAAAAGATGGACTGTTTGACCGCCTTCTTGTGACGTGCTGTTTCCTCCCAGGGGAGCCACTCTTGTACCTGGACCGTTCAGTCGTAACCCCGTGTGTCTGTGCCGTGTGACTACTGTGACAAGCAACTCTGTGATGAAAGAACACACAAGGAAAAGTTAATACTCTAAAGTGAAATAATAAATGAATGAATGAATCAATAAGTAATAAATGAAAAAACAAATAAATAGATGAATAAATAAATAAATAAACCAACTAATAAATGTAATAATAAATACAGCTATCCTTTCCCAAAGCGTTTCTTCCCAAGAACCTAGTTTTCTCGCTGGGCTGCAGAAAGGTAGCGGCCTATTGTTAGGAAGTGGAATGAAGGAAGTCAGTGACAGACTATTTTAAACAACAAAAACACCAAGCCCAGATGGGTTCTTCCAACAAATAAACCACAATTTTCTACCCGCCTGTTTGAACGTTTATTTTTTCATGACGTGTGATAAAGGACCCCAGTGGTTAGTTAAAAAATGGATTCTTTAAAAAAACCAAAAACCAAACAAAACTAAAAAAAAACAAAAACAAAAAAAACTTCGACCAAATTACAAGAAAAAACCACATTAAAAAACAGCAACTTCAAAAAAACAAAAACAAACCGTGAACAGGAACCATTTCTCCCGACAAAGGCACAGTGCTGTTGCTGGACTCTCTCTCTGTATAATGAGCACAATAATGAACACAATAATGAACAATAAATCTTCATCTCGCGAGTGATCCAACAATCGCATTGACCTTCTATCACAACGACAACTGCCAACCAACCAACCAACCAGCCTACCAACCAACCAGCCAGCCTACCAACCAGTTCACCAGTCAACCAACCAACCGGTCCGCCCAACAGTCAATCATCTGTTCATCATGTGCCCGTACCGCTGTGAGTGTATATATATAATATACGTATATATATATGTGACACGCTGAACGCATGCCTTGCAATTTGGGTTTTTCCTCTAAAAGATTCCTTTATTTATTAGTTTGGAAAATTTATTTATATAATAATAATAATAATAAGTAGCATTTGTATAGCGCATGTCCCCACTCGAAGGCAAGCTCTAAGCGCTGTACATAATATTACCCCAGCAGACCATAGAACACTCAGAAACATTCCCAGCTTCCTGGGAAGTATACAGTGCAAACAGAGCAGCTGGTTAAGCGCTCAAACACTAACAAACTGACAAGATCTTTCTCTGTCTATATCTGGGTACCCATTTTCACCTTGGTGATGTGGGGAAAATTCGTGTAAAGTGCCTTTCCCAAGGACACAACGTCGGGCCCGCGGCTCGAACCCCCGAACCCTCAACAACGAATAGGTCATGTGCACAATTTAAAAAGATAAACCCAGCACCAGAATAGTCGGGGTGCAACATAAGCTCACTGGGTATCACGACAGTCTGTTGCGCTGATGACCCTTATTCAATCCCCAAAGGCGTAATCTTCAGTTTGGATTTATTGTAAGTTTACTTGATCTCATTCCCATCGGAAATCAGTGTGAACTTGGAAGGGCCCTGCTCATAAAAATTTTTCAGTTCTGAAAGGGTTGTTAAATTCAAACAAAAACATGCAGCATAATATCTGATGAGGCTGTTTATATTCAAGAAGGACTAGTTGTTCAAATTACAAAAATTTGCAGATCTTAGTAATGTAAATTAATTTTAGCAGCAACAGTAATCATAGTATTGAAAATTGATTTTGGCAGCAGAGAGAGAGAGAGAGAGAGAGAGAGAGAGAGAGAGAGAGAGAGAGAGGCAGAGAGAAAGAGAGAGCTTACTTGACGGACAGTAAGAGAAATGGGTTATAAAGAGTATGCGCACACGATGTTGTGTGTGGGTGTGTGTGTGTGTGTGTGTGTGTTTGTGTATGTGTGCGTATCTGTGTTTGTGCTTGTGCGTGTGTGTGTGTGTGTGTGTGTTTGTGTGCCTTCGGCCGTAAAAAGAGAAAAGAAAAAAACCCAACCAAACTACCATCACGTCCATGGCAGTCTCTTATATAAGCCAGAGGCCAGAGACGTCCAAATTCTGAACCGCAGCGCCAAAAACCCAAACATAGACTGTTGCCAGAATCAAATCAGTATTCACAAGATCACACCACCCACACCGCCACCCCCAGGAGACGGACCCGAACAGCGCTCAACTCAGCTTTTGTGTCCAACAACGAGTGCATGACACGCTAAGAAAAGAAAAAAATTGGGATGAGAGACAGAAAGAAGAAAGGCGACGGAGAGTTGCATGTGTGTGTGTGTGTGTGTGTGTGTGTGTGTGTGTGTGTT